GGAGGGAGCGGGCCAGGGCGCTGCGAGGCCCTGGCGCGGGCGGTGCCCGGAGAGGGGGGATCTGAGGGGAGTCGGGAGGAGCCCGGGGGTTGGTTGGGGGGGTCACGGGAGGATGGGGGATGGGCTGGGTCTAAGGGGACTTGGCGGGAGCTTTGGGGGGTTGGGTTTGGGGGGAGCTTTGGGGGTTTGTCTCTGGGGGTGGGTCGGGGGGGTCTGGGAGAGATGGGCTGAGGGGCTGGCTGTGAGGGGGGCTGGGTCTAAGGGGACTTGGGGGGCTTTGGGGGGTTGGGTTTGGGGGGGCCTTGGGGGGCTGGCTCTGAGGGGGTTTGGCAGGGGATCTGGGGGTGGATCTGAGGGGCATGACGGGTGGTCTGGGGAGGGGTGTCCCTAGGGGGGATCATGGTATCGCGAAGTTGAGGCCTAGCCTTTGCTCAGGGCCCTGGCTGGGTGAGGTGTGACCTGGGGTCCCATTACCAGCTTAGCCTTTGGGGGAGTTTCTCTCTGAGTCATGGGTGTGACGGGGACGTCCCCAGACACGCACACGGCTGGGACGGGTGGGGTTCAGGCTGGACTGAGATCCGTCTGGAGAAAAGACCCCACCTTTAGCAGCTCAAGGTCCTGCGGGGGCTCAGGCCCTTGGTAGGGGGCTGTTTTAATTCTGTCAGAGCCTGTTTGGAAAAGTTCACCCTTCCCAGCCATTGTCTAGGTCTTCCCCCCGTTTTGTCCTGGGATTGGGGACCAGGGTGAAGGGTGCCGTAGTGCTCAGTTTGCCAAGGATCCTAAGAGATAAGTTGGAGCTTGATTGCTCTTCCTCTTTGAATGTCTCTTGTGTCTCTTCAGGCTTTGGGAGCTTTGATAGTACTATGCACTGTGACAGTATTAACACTGTAGATATATAGCTGTGTGTTTGCTTTTCTGCTTGTGGCTTTATTTCAGCGACCCCAGGACTACTGTAAATATATGCTGAAAACAGAAAAAAGGAGAGTAGCTTTGCACTTATGTTAAAAGTCTCAAACTGATAGCCTGCAATGGTCAAGAAGGATTTCCTTCTCCTCCTTCCATATACTCTCTTTGCAGCCATTCTCCACCTGGTCTGCTGACTGCTTCCAGGAGACCTAGAGAGTCGCGTGTCCGTCTAGTGAAGCATCTGCTACTTTTCAAAGACACATGGATTTTGCTAGCTCTAGCCCCATCCCAGATTCGTTTAGGGTTTCCATTCTCTAAAGCTTCATTTGACCAGCAAATTGCAGAACCGAGTCTCATCTCTGCATCCGATGCAGGTGCTTCCCATCTCTTAGTACTGTGGGTTCCTTAGATGAAAACTCATTGCTGACCAATATGCCAACAAGGTCCAAAATTGGATGTATAGCTAACATGCAAGGTAGGTTGCAGGGAACAAGGATAGTTTTGGTTCTAGCACACGTGAAGACCTGTATCCAGGGAGAAGAAATAAATAGCACAAATTTAAAATGGGAGATAACCCAGCAGCCACTTGTGTTATATTAAACAAGTTTCTTTCTATATTGTTGCTTTATTAGTGCCCTACTTTGATTTATTCTTGTAACCAGAGCTCTGTAGTTGCTTTACAGACGAGGTGAATCAAATTTTGGAGGTAGGAATGGAAAAATGTTCACGAAAAGCTCTCTAAAATGGTCTATGGTAGGATGTCAACTTTTTCACATCTGTGTGCTACCACCAATTGGCTAGGCTGAATATGGGACATTTTGCCTTCCTCGCCTAAAGGTGGCATACCAGCTTGAAGCACCAGTCATCTAGTCTGACACATCCTATGTTCCTATGACTGTGAAGGCTTTTCCAGGGATGACCAGGAAAGAGTAGAGTTAGTGAAGACCAAGAGAAGAAGCATGGGATTTTGGTTTTGAAAATTTTTACTGATCAAAGTGTTGTAAATAGTGTAAGATCAGGCTGTGCTAATGAGGTGTGTTGGGGGGGGGGGGGGGAATCTTCCTGTGTGGGGAAAAGACATGTAAAGACTTGGATGTTGCAAAAGCAGGTATAAAACTACAAAGCTGGTCTGATTTTGGCCCATTCAGCCTGATGGTGTCTCTAAAAGTGTGACTAGCATTTAAAGAGGACTCGAGTCCTATTGCACCCCAGAAGAGAACTGAGCTGAAATTTTCTGGAGGGGAGCAGCTGGTAATCTTTTGGTGGAGATTTTCAGAAGTGCCAAAGGGAATTAGGAGCATACAAGGCAGTGGGAATTGTGTGCCTGAATTTCTTAGAGAAGTTTGTAACTGGGATTTTCCAATTTACTTGGCTGAAATGTGGTAGTTTCTAACTTGCCGTTGCTGACTTGGTCTTGTGTGTAGGTGAGACCATACTGTGTAACATTCGTAGACACTAGTAATGGGGGAGATCGTTTAGGCCATGAGTCAAATGCCGGGATGTTGCTTTATAATGATGTGCACTGATAACAGTGGCACCATGTAAAACACAGCAGAAGACATGGGGTCCCTGACCTGTGGAGCTTAAAAATCTAAACAGTGTGTTCTCCAGTGCTTCGTTCAGTCCAGTTCTAAATAACCACGAGAGGGCTTCTCCATCCTGGCTAAGTCTCTGGGTCACTAGTCTGATCCGTTGTGATTGAACATCTATTACTTCTGTATTTTCATGACTTGGGCATACATCTAGGCATTTAATCTCTTTTGTAACAGATCTTGCCTGACTTCTCATTTTTAATGATGATGTCTCTTATTCTGACTTCCTCTCCTTTGTTATGCACCCAAAATGGTTTATTGTAAAAAAGCAAATCCCAAATATATTGGATTGTAAAGGGACCTATTAACCTCACATTTATCATTCTGTTGTTATTCAGATCTCAGGAAGCAGGCTAGACAGCTGGAGAATGAGCTTGATCTGAAGTTGGTCTCCTTCAGCAAACTGTGCACGAGCTACAGTCACAGCAGCGCCCGAGAGGGAAGACGCGACAGGTATAGGTACTAACGGACTTCTTCATGTTTTTTTAAAAGGCTGCTTTAAATACTCTTGATTCATTTAATCTTCCACTTTTCTGTATTGTTTGATGCTTAGTTTTTCAAGTAGCTCATTAGAATAGTCCTTCCTGGGCATTAGGAACCATATGCTGATCTTGATGTGGTGGTGTTGGTCCATATGTGTGGTGCCCATTCAAGGATAGTGGAGCATTGTTAGCATGATGTAAATCATTAGAAGGAATTGTGTTTAAGCTTTAGTTTGTATTTGTGGTAATCCATAGATGGGGTGTGTCCTTGTGCATGGCAGTACAACTTGCTGCACCGTCTGTGTTCAAGTTGTATATTCATTTAGAAAATACTTTGCAGTTTTTTAAGGACTTCAACTCAAAGGCCAGAAAGCAGTTTGGATACTGATGAATTTAGCCTCTCAAATCTGCATGTGGTCTGGCTAGCATTATGCTCCCCATTGTAAAGTTGAGGAAATTGAGGCACAGAGCTGTTGTGACTTGTCCAGGCTTGCATAGTGAGTACGTGGCAGAGCTGGGGTTTGAACTGAGGAGTTCTGACTCTGAGCCCTCTGCTCTAACCAATATAGGTACAGTCGCTAGTTTCAAGTTTTCCTTCAGGATTACTAGTGAGAACTCCTTTTTAAAAAATAAGCCTTTTATCAAAAGACTAATAAATGTTCTTCGACTGCTAGTGTCCGGTTTATGTGCGTTCCCCAGTCAAGCATAGTTAAGTTTTCTAAGTCTCTCCACCTTGAGGACCAGACTCTAATTCTTTCTGAAATGTGAAGACAATTACATTATTAACTTCATAAATGGTGCCCATGCACATGCAGCCTTCTCTTGATCAGTCACTGTATATTAATTATGAGTCTGTTGCAATGGGAATCATTCTGGAACTCTCTCCAATCCTAAAGTGAGAGAAATCATCATCCTTCAAAACCTTCCCTAAAGCTCCCCTCTACTGGGTTGTCTACCAAATATTCAACAATATCTAGGCATCCCGTGTACTGTGACCTCTGCTGCTTATTCGGAACATGATTGTGTCACTGTCACCTTTTCCTTCTTTCTCCCCTCGTCCCGGTTCTGTTTGTGTCCACCCGTTGTTGCTTAGAGGCTAAAACTGTAGGCTCTTTGTGGCATGGAGTGTGTGTGTTTTATTGCATGTAGCACCCAGCACAATGGGGCCTTATCCCTGATTGAGGTCTGTCAGTGTTTCTGCAATACAAATAAGACACCTAAATGGAAGCAGCCCAACTTGACTGCCCAAGTGTTAGTTAATTTTGTTCTCATTTTCTCTTCACTCCCCCCAACCCACAGAAACAAACCTTGGTCTCTCTTGGTCTGATTGTCTTTGTTTTATCTGCCTTTCCCAATAAGTGTTAGTAGATTGCAATCCTACCCCTTGAAAGCCACATTCCTCCTCTCCTAGTACAACAGCTCTCTCTCTCTCTGTGTTTCAAAGAGAGGACACCAAAATGGATTGTGTCTAAATGTATTGTCGGATTGAATGTGTCTCTTCTGACATTGCTCAGGGTGAGCAGAGTGACCCAGAATCTGTTTCCCAGACGAAGCCCAAGAGCAGCGCCAGGAGTGACCACTCCCTTCCTGAATCAGGGCTGCTGCTGCCACCACCGCCGCCTCCATCTCTCTCTCTTTCTTATACGTTGCCAGATTTGTATTGTGCGGTGTTTACAGTATAACCTGGACATACCACTGACTTCTCGTTTCCAGAGAGAAAGATGGATGGTAGAAAAGACACTAGTTTTCTTTCCTCTTCCTATCCCAATAATTGGAGGTTACCAGAGAAAAGAGTATTGCCTTCAAAAGATGTAAGCTGTTACCTTACAGGTGTCAGTCTGTTGTGTGTTTGGGCCTATCCCCTTGCTTGTGTGTGATTTTTTCCCTGTGTAATTTTTAACTGCTTTGACAAGCATAGGGGAGATGGACTATGTAGAAAACACAATTTATCCCAATTTTTCTATGTGGCATGTTCTTGTTTAAAATGTGTCTGCTGGAGTTTCTAGCCCTGTATTGTTAATGTACATTTACATAATTATAACATACTAATATTGAAACCCACTTTCCTGCTAATATGGAATCATAAAGAATAGTGTGGGAAAGAAGCATCATTGTTCGGCAAGTAATGATTTCTGACGTGATGTGCAGTGATTCAGTACCAGATATTAGCTTCTAGAGGGAAGTAAGGCCGTGTCTACACTAGTACTTCTGTTGGCAAAACTTACATAGCTCAGCGGTGTGAAAAAAAACAACCTCCACCCCCGGGTGACATAAGTTTTGCCAGCATCAGTGCTCATGTGCACAGCGCTATGTTGGCCCCAGAGCCTCTCCTGCAGTCATAGTTACCGCCGCTTGTTGAGCTGGTTTTATTGCGTCGACGGGCGAGCTCTCTCCCATTGGCATAACGTGGCTACATGAGTGCTCTTCAGCGACACTGCTGTAAGTGTAGACATGGCCTTAGACTCTTTGAGGGGTGTATATCTCATAATATTTCAACTGAGGTATTGGACTAATGAGGCAGTCGATACAGGGAAAATTTCTTTTTTTTTTTTTTTTTTTTTTTCCCCTAAAGTTAATTTCTGACTTTAGGAAACCTACTTAGAAAATAAAATTGCCCTTGTACTTATGCCTGATATTGACACGTGGTGTCCGAATAGTCACAAAAGGATGTTGTGCCTTCCAGTAATTGCTGCTGCTCTTTTCCTCTTAGTTCTGATACAACTCCTCTCTTAAATGGGTCGAGCCAAGACAGAATGTTTGAAACCATGGCGGTGGAGATTGAACAACTTCTGGGAAGGGTAAATGAGTTCTCCTATTCTTATTTCAATACCTAATAGGACTTTGAAGACCTTAATAGATCTACCGTTCCTGCATAGGCTGTAGAATGTGCACTTGATGACAATATGCCTCCATTAAACAAAACAAGATGTTTAGTAATACTGGTAACAGTGGTTGGTAGATACTTCACTGAAAACATGTTAATCAGCATTGTAGCTCCTTTACGGAAAAGTGTCCCTTTGGTGTTTTGTTTTTGTTTTTTTTCTGTAGCTTACTGGAATAAATGACAAAATGGCGGAGTACACCAACAGCGCGGGAGTCCCATCCCTGAATGCAGCACTGATGCACACGTTACAGCGTCATAGAGACATATTGCAGGTAAGTCTCGTGCAATACTTTTGTTACTTGTTTTTATGCTGTTTCTTCATTGTAGTGATACTTACTGATATAACCTCACACAAAATCCAAATATTCTTGTAGAGGGGTGTGTGTGTGTGTGTGTGTGTGTGTAAAAATGTAAAAAAAACCCAACAACCCTAAAATGTTGATTGGCAGGGAGAAGTTTGAGGGATGCTATATCACTGAAAAGTAAATGCTATCAGTTGTTAGTTGTGACCAATGCATAGCAGGTTAAAATGTCTGATGTAAAAGATGTCTTTGTCTCATATGCTGCAAGGGAAGGATATAGAAAATAGGATTCTAATAACCAAAAGGAAATAATCTTACCCACAGCTGTTGTGGTTTTACGCACTATGTGGATAGAATTATTTAATCATTTCTATCCTAAAAGGGTCATCTTTATAACATTTACCTTCTTGGTTTTCTGTATATTTCAAAAACGATATAATGAAGCTATTTTTGGTCTGTGATGTCAGGTTTTCATGCTTGGGTTTATTCTCCTCTGTTTTTTGTTAGCATCCAGTAGTTACATAAACTTAATTACAATTGGGACTCTCCGATGAAGAAAAAGCTGTCCCGAGGAAGCTGTTGAAATTAGCAATTGAAAGCATTGAATTGAAAGTGAACCTCATATTCAAAGGTTTTAAATGCAGCTAAAATTAATGACCACAAAGATGACTCTGCCATAGGTCCCAAGAGGTCTGTGCAGTTTCCCTGGTTTAGTGACTACCTGATCTTGATGTAAAATTATTAGGGATGTTTCACAATTTCTCAATATTTGAATGTGTTTGTTCCTTCACTAGCTTCCCCAATATGTCATGCAGGGAGTGCAAGACTTCTGCACAAGCTGACATCCAGTTTCTATTTGATGTTGCCCTTTTAGAAAGGCTTTCTCTGTGGTACCCATGTCTTGGACCTTTTCTCTGTAGTACTCAATGTTTCCTTTGTGGAGAGGGGAAAAATTAAATCTGCATTAAAAATAGTTGACAGATATTCAGTTAAGATCCCATTAGATGCTATTGCCTTAAAACAACGAGAACAAACCCAAAAACAAAAGGCACTTTGGGTAGTGCCTTTAAAATGTGATCATCTATGAAGTCTTGTAATTTAATTATTGATGCATTTCTTACTGAGAGATTTAAATATTATCAACCTCAGCAAACTAACTAACAGCAGCTGGGAGGTGTAATTCCCAGTTTGGGACAAACACGCACTAGTTCTGCTCAGGCTGGCATTCTAAAAATGGTGGGGTTGGCCATGGTGGCACAGGCAGCACTTGGGCTAGCTGCCTGAGTACAATCCTATCTGAGCCCTGGGCACATACTTGCGCAACTAGTCCTAGCCGCCACCCATGCTGTACAAATGTTTTTAGTGCACTGGCTTGAGCAGAGCTAGCGCATGAACGTCTACCTGAGATGGGAATTACACCTGCCAGCTGCAGGGTAAATGTGTGAATTTCCAGGTTCTGAGAGTAGGATTTTAATGTCAGCTCATCAAATGGCCTAAACTCACATGCTGTGTGGGAGACTCTCATTTAAGAGACACTATACATTTAAAAAGCACACTAATGCAGTGGTTCACAAACTTTTTTTTCCGCGGACCACTTGAAAGTTGGTGAGGGTCTCGGCAGACCACTTAATGATCTTTCCAAATGTTGTTTGTACTGTTTGATAACTATTGTAAGGCGCTTTGGATAAAAGTGCTATATTTAAAAAAAAACTTAATAATAATTAACTTTTTTGTTCTACAAATAAAAGCACACAACTCATATTTTAGTATCAGTGGTGCAACCTTTCTAATGAGATGGATGTGTCACCTCTCCCCCACTGCAGCAATCCCTGAGCTGGGGTTGGGAAGGAGGGGGGTCTCTCCCCCACCGCAGCAGCCCCCGAGCTGGGGCTGGGAAGGAGGGGGGTCTCTCCCTAGCAGCCGCAGCCCTGGAGCTGGGGAAAGTCGCCTCTTTCTCTGGCTGCTGCAGCCCTGCACATCCCAAATTTCCCACCCCCCCTTCTCAGCCCACTGCCCCCTCCCACCTACCTCCTATTCCCCCCCAAGACCACCACTTCACCTTACATGTGCGTCTTCTCCAGGGTCCAGGCACCTAATTAGTGGAGCCACGCCTGAGCAGTTCCACTAATTAGGTGGGTGGCCCTTCATTTTCTTGTGTGCGGCCGCCGAGGCGCGAACTTTAGAACCATCTGCGGACCACCTGACTGGGGCTCATGGACCACTGGTGGTCCGCAGACCACAGTTTGAGAACCTCTGCACTAATGTCTGAAAATGTTTTAGGTACTATCTTTTTACTTTTCCTATCTAGATAACAGAATATACACACTTAATTCTTGCAAAAAATGTTTGGTTCATTTATTAACAGGAAAACTGACATAAGTTTTTAACAAGTTGTATTGATCATTTTTACACACTTTACTCTTTAACTGTGAACATTATAGGGACCACCTACAAAGTCTATTTAATATTACACAAGATGCCATCTCTGTTTAGCTTCTTTAAACATAACATCACAAACAGTACAATTTGTAATGATTATTAAAGCATTAAAACATAGCCCCCTTCGTTATTTACAGTGTTTATTGACATGACCTGGTACTTCCAGTGAAGAGTACCAGTTTTTAAAATGCAGAAATGATAAACTCAAGCATTAAAACATTTCTTTACAGGATACACAAACCATTACTAGTAAACAGTACCAGTGTTTAAAAATACAGAAATGATCATTTTAAGTTGCAACAACAGCAATACTAATGTGTGCGCGATGGTTGTTCAGTTAATGTGGAGAGCCGGGTAATGGAGGCTCGGATAAATGGGGTTCTGATGTCTTAGAATTGGAAAAAGTACAGAGAATGGCAGCAAAAATAATTAGGGGTTTGGAACAGCTTTCATACTAGGAGAATTTAAAAAGACTAGAGCTATTCATCTTAGAGAAGAGATGATTAAGAGGGGATATGATAGAGGTCTACAAAATCATTTCTGGTGTGGAGAAAGTGAATAGGGAAGAGTTATTTACCCCTTCACATAACACAAGAACCAGGGGTCATGCAATGAAATTTATAAGCAGCAGATTTAAAGCAAACTTAAGGAAGTACTTCACACAGTGCACAGTCAACCCGTGGAACTCATTGCCAGGGAATGTTGTGAAGGCCAAAAGTATAACTGGTTTCAGAAAGAATTAAGATAAGTTCATGGACGATAGGTTCATCAGTGTCTGCTCACCAAGAATGTCAGGAACATAATCCCATGCTCTGTGTGTCCCTAAACCTCTGACTGCTACCAGCTGGGACTGGATGACAGGATGAGTCGCTTAATAATTGCTCTATTCTGTTCATTCCCTCTGAAGATTCTGGCATTGGCCACTGTTGGAAGACAGGACACTGGGCTAAATGGACCATTGGTCTGTTCCAGTATGGCCATTCTTATTTTATGTGAAAACGAGAGGAGGGGGTTTATAATGAAAGTTCCAGTATAACCTTAACCATTGAGATCATTAGTAAGCAAGTACTGTAATGCAGTAGAAGTAATAAAACTTTCAAGCCTATTTTCCATTTTTACTAGCCGTTTTATTGGCTAGTTTTCTGCCCATTTAGTACCTGTTGGTCAGATCTTGTTGGCAGAGTGTTGCCATTGTCACGATCTAATGGTGCTTAAAATACTTGTTTTGTTACAGGATTACACACATGAATTCCATAAAACCAAAACCAACTTTCTGGCAGTACGGGAAAGGGAAAATCTCCTGGGATCAGTACGGAAAGATATTGAGTAAGTCTGAGTATAAACAATAGCAATAGACTTAAACACTTCTCTTGTCCTGACTGGAAGAAGCATATTTATTTGAATCATTACCCCGTTTTCTGAGATATTTTGCATGATTTTTTAAAGTGCTTCTTTCAGAGGTGGCTCATTTCAAGTACAATGTCGGACGTATTATGAGGCTGTACATTGAAACTAAATCTATTCTAGCCAAATGTTCCAGCACTAAAATAATCCTGGCTCTCCTTTCCAGTAGTGTGGGATGTGTGCTTCCCTAAATCAAATGAATTAGTATATGTTTAAAGGAGGGTCAAAAGCTTCCAATGTAAAGTGAAGAAAAAGACTATTCTGATTGGAGCAATTGTCTTAAGTTTCAGGTTGAATTAATACGTTGTTTCAATCAGATCTGGCTATTTGATTGTCTCAAAATTCACTTTTGATACAAGCAGCTTGTAATCATGATTATTAGCTTTTAAAAGATGCAAATTGCATTTGAGAATTGAGCTGTTTAGCGTGCTTGTTAGAGATCATATTTAACAGCTGTGGATGGAAATCACAGATAAAGACTCTCCATGAGGCAAAAGTTAATCTTCGAAAAACCTTTTGAGAAATACTTCTGCCTATCCTCACTGTCCTATTTTTGTGTCACCTGTTCTTTTTGCGGATACAGACTAACACGGCTGCTACTCTGAAACCTATTTTTGTGTGTCTCTCTTCCCTAGATTTAATTCTAGGGATCTTTGTTTGAAAATATAGGATCTTCTGTTTCGTAGGAGCTCTTCTGCTTTTCTATATTCCTCACCTTGAGTTGGATTTCTTTGTGACAACACAAACCTCACAACCATTTTAACTTCACATGAGGGGATCGCAGCAGGAGCATTTACTGCTTTTAGGATCAAAGATTGTGTTTTCATGTGAACTTCCCTGGTAGTAGTAAACAAGCAGAATGTTTTTCAGTGAATCTCTAAAAAACAAACCTCGAGTGTTTGCAATATAATTAAGCCTGGATGTGAATTGGAAGTTTACTTTTCCTTCTACAACCCCTTAGTGAGTCTCTCTGGAACACCAGCAGAGGGCATCTGCCTTTCCTTTATCTATCCAGTGTACATTTCAGAATGTTTCCCTCAGGGAAAGAGAAATTAGAACATGCTTCTGAATGGGAAAATAGCAAACTCTTTTCTGAGAGAGGTTATTTTGAGCCCAGATGAAACTGTGGAAGCTGTATGTACTGATTTATTATAGCCTCTCTCTAGTTAGGGTTGGGTTCCACTTTGCTCTTGGAAAATTGTGTGTGTGTGTGTGTGTGTGTGTGTGTATATATGTGTATATGTATATGTGTATATATGTGTATATGTGTATATGTGTACACACACATACATATATATGTATAGGTAGGATAAAAGACTACACCATAGAAAATGGATTCAAGTGTATCAGTTTAAAAAAAAAAAGTATTTTAATGATACTGAGACTTTTCCATTTGGTGATTTAGAAATAACCGAATTTAACATACAAGCTAGGTCTGTCAAGCGATTAACAAAATTAATGATCATTAATCGCACCGTTAAACAATAATAGAATACCATTTACTTCAATATTTTTGGATGTCTTCTACATTTTCAAATATAATGATTTCAGTTACAACACAGAATAGAGTGTACAGTGCTCACTTTATAATCATTTTGATTACAAATATTTGCATTGTAAAAAACAAAAGAAATAGTATTTTTCAGTTCACCTAATACAAGCACTGTAGTGCAATCTCTTTATCATGAAAGTTGAACTTACAAAAGTAGAATTATGTACCAAAAACAACTGCATTCAGAAACAAAACAGTGTAAAACTTTAGAGCCTACAAGTCCACTCAGTCCTATTTCTTGTTCAGCCAATCGCTCAGACAAACTAGTTTGTTTGCATTTGCAGGAGATAATGCTGCCTGCTTCTTGTTCACAATGTCACCTGAACGTGAGAACAGGGGTTCGCATGGCACTGTTGCAGCCAGCGTCACAGGATATTTACATACCAGATGCACTAAAGATTCACATGTCCCTTCATGATTCATCCACCATTCCAGGGGACATGCATCCATGCTGATGACAGGTTCTGCTCAATAACAATCCAAAGCAGTGCTGACCGATGCATGTTCATTTTCATAATCTGAGTCAGATGCCGCCAGCAGAAGGTTGATTTTCTTTTTTGGTGGTTCGAGTTTTGTAGTTTTCGCATCAGTGTGTTGCTCTTTTAAGACTTCTGAAAGCATGCGCCACACCTCATCCCTCTCAGATTTTGGACAGCACTTCAGATTTTAAACCTTGGGTTGAGTGCTGTAGCTAGTTTTAGAAATCTCACCTTGGTACCCTCTTTGCATTTTGTCAAATCTGCAGCAAAAGTGTTCTAAAAATGAACAACATGTGCTGAGTCATCATCTGAGACTATTATAACATGAAATATATGGCAGAATGTGGGGAAAACAGAACCGGAGACATACAGTTCTTCCCCAAGGAGTACAGTCATAAATTTAATTAACACATGATTTTTTTTTTAACGAGTGTCATCAGAATGGAGGCACGTCCTCTGGAATGGTGGCCAAAGCATGAAGGGTCATATGAATGTTTAGCATATCTGGCACGTAAATACCTTGCAATGCCGTTTACAAAATCCCATGCGAAAAATCCCATGAGTGGACTTGTAGGCTCTAAAGTTTTACATTGTTTTGTTTTTGAGTGAAGTTATGTAAAAACAAACAAACAACAAACTATATTTGTAAGTTGCATTTTCATGATAGAGATTGCACTACAGTACTTCTATGAGGTGAACTGAAAAATACTATTTCTTTTATATTTTTACAGTGCAAATATTTGTAATAAAAAATAGAAAGTGAGCACTGTACACTTTGTATTCTGTGTTGTAATAGAAATCAATATATTTGAAAATGTAGAAAAATATCCAAAAAGATTTAATAAATTTCAATTGATATTCTATTGTTTAACAGTGCGATTAAAACGGCAATTAATTGTGATTAAAAAAATTAATTTTTTTGAGTTAATCGTGTGAGTTAACTGCAATGAATCGACAGCCCTGATACAAGCAGATCAATAAATGCTGCCTTGTGAAAAGTATTTCTGGCAATATTGTTTTTCACTTTCTTTTTTTAAATCTTAGATCGTATAAAAGTGGGTCCGGTGTGAACAATAGAAGAACAGAGCTGTTCCTGAAAGAACATGAGCACCTTCGAAAGTAGGTTTTCTTAAATATGTGGATGAACCATTCTTTTTCTTACGGAAAATAAGAACAGCATCTACAGTTACAGTGCCTAGGACAAAGATTACAGGAGCCATTCATCCTCATGCTTCAGAACATAAAAACCAAGCTCAACTGGGGTCAGGGAGAAAATCTCCTCCATAATATTCTGCAAGGTGCTAGGACACTACTTGGGTTTAGTACTTTCCTCTGCAGCATCCAGCATATGGCGCTACTGAACACAGGATAGTTGGCTAAGTAGCCTGTACCAATATGGCAGTTTCCTTGTGAGTTTAGATGTTTTGTGGCTGAAACTACTAATTAAAGGCTAAATGGAAGAATTCTCTCAGGGCAGCAAATGAATTATTTTGTGTTCTGAACACTTCCATTCCTTGGCGATGAGGTCGGTTTTGCAGCTACTGTATATCCAGCTAAGTTGTGCTGTAATTGGAAGAATCTTTCCCTGTGTAACTGCAATCATATTTTAACTGAAATGCTTTGTTTAATGGTTGTTTGTTGTTTGCACTTCCTTCTTATTTCAGTTTAATGAACATTGGAAGTTGGACAATTTCTGCTTAGATTTCCCCAAAATAATGATCGGTTTATAATCCTATTGTGTTTTTGCTGATGAAGTGTTGGGATAGAAGATTTTTAAACAAACAAGATTTACACAGACCAGATTGAAATATATTAGTGGCCAGGTTCTAATGAACAAAGTAAACTCTTTAATGTACGTCACATAGGAAGGAACACAGGGTACAAGATTGTTACACTGAGGTCACGTATAAACATTTCTTTGCCACCAGCAATAGCAAATTTTGCTGTTGAAAGTGTTTGTGGATATTTTACAAGCTGATTTTGTTGTTGGCTATGTGCCTCTTCTTACTCTGTGATTTTTATTTAATCCTTTTTTTAAAAACAATCTTTCTGTATTAGCAATACCTGTCTGATAGGATGAATGTACAGCCATCTTCGTAGTTGATTCTATGGTGTTCCACCTAGAAGCTGACATATATGGGGGGAGGGATAGCTCAGGGGTTTGAGCATTGGCCTGCTAAACCCAGGGTTGTGAGTTCAATCCTTGAGGGGGCTACTTACGGATCTGGGGCAAAATCAGTACTTGGTCCTGCTAGTGAAGGCAGGGGGCTGGACTCGATGACCTTCAAGGTCCCTTCCAGTTCTAGGAGATGGGATATCTCCATTAATTTAAATTTAAATATACAAGGGCTGTCTCCCAATTGTAAGAAGCAGTGTACTGCTGTACCTGTTTTTCTCAGTACTGTCTATTCCTTGTGGAATATCTTCTACGTAACCACTGTATGTGCAAAAAAACTATTCAGCTTTTGTTCTTTATTCTATTTGCCTTTGGATTTCTGCTCTACTTATGTCACTAAATCTTTCTTCTTTTGTGTCTGTCAGTGTTAGACATCGAATGATAACCTGCTTTTCACTTGTCTATGCTAAGTGTGTAGAAAAGACTAAATCCACATACCAGAATTACTAATACCCTTAAATACATCTAAAATTGATATCTTTTTTTTAACCAAAACTAAAAAGGCAGCCCAAAGACTTCTCCTTAGTTCTGTTTTTCTCAATCTAACTATGAAGGACTTCATCTATTTGTAAAGTAGATGATCTCTGTTACTCTCCATCCATAGGGAATTGTAGTTTTGAAAGTTTGCCTCAGATACCAAGTTACATGGTCTCAAAGCTCTAGGAACTCAATGATTTCAACTGTGTGTGTATGGGGAGTTTGAAACAAACACATTCAATCTGTTTTTCTTGTTCAAATGAGATCTAACTAATCAGCATGCACACTGGAATTTATTCCTCCTTTATGTTGAACACTTTTCTGTCCAAAATGATGCTGTGCTGCCAGGCATGAAAAATGGAAATATGCACAAAAACATTAGGGTGAAAAGGAGCAAAATCCCACGGAACGGTGTCCCAAAGCTGTGGCTCTTTAGGCATTTCCTTTCATTCAGGATGTAGTCATATGGTCTCATGCTCAGAGTCTAACTAACTGATAGCCATATTTGGGGTTGGGAAGGAATTTTCCCCTGGGTCAGATTGGCAGAGACCCTGGGGGGGTTTCGCCTTCCTCTGTAGCATGGGGCACGGATCACTTGCAGGTTTAAAATAGTGTAAATGGTGAATTCTCTGTAAATTGAAGTCTTTCTTTAAACCGTGATTTGAGGACTTAAGTAACTCAGCCGGAGGTTAGGGGTCTATTTCAGGAGTGAGTGAGGTTCTGTGGCCTGCAATGTGTAGGAGGTCGGACTAGAAGATGACCATGATGGTCCCTTCTGACCTTAAACTCTATGAGTCTATATTTGTGTAGAAAAGGCTTGGGTTTCAAAGAAACACAGACTTCTATGACTGTATGTTTCCAGACCCCAGCCATCAGTAAACTATAGGTTGTCACAAGGGGGCAGTATTTCATAGGAAAAGTTTTCATCTGTAGGCTGATAACTGTTCCTAAAGATAATTTTGTGTTGTAGCCAAGACTATGTAAAAAGCTTTTACAGGAAATTAAAAATACAGTTTTTAGATGGGTGATGAAGTATGGGCAGGCCACAATTTCCCTTGGGATCCCTGGTGGCATTCAGAAATTCACCGGTCTAAAGCATAAGCTAATGATTTTCCTTTAGGTTGCATCTGTTGTTAACCTTTATAATCAAGAATGTTATTAAATTCTACAGAAACAATGCAATAGGTTTAATGTCTTGGAGGTGAACCCTAATAGAAATTGAGTGCACTGATGAAGAACAAGGAGTGCTTATTAGTCTGAATAAACTTGTTTGTTCCCATATCATAAGGATTAAAAGCAAGTGTTAAGTAATGTTATACATTTGTCATTTTCTGGAAAAAAAAAATGTAAATTTCCTCTTGCAGTTCCTCTAAAATACACTTTTGATAAGTGCATAGAGAGGAAATTATCAACAGATCTTTAAATGGCCCTAAAATAGTGCAATGAAGGCACCCATTACATATCTTGTATGTTTCATCTGATGAACATTTTTAAAAATAATCAGGTCAAGCACCTTACAGAGGTATTGGTTACTTTAATCCTTCCTGGGACAAAGTTTCATTGTGGTGATTAACTTATGTTGGCTCATGACTTTTATTCTTTGATAGCTGTCTGATTTCACAGTAAGGATAATCCTTTTCAGAAGGCGGGTCAGAGTATTCCTGTGCCTGTGTGGGTCTACAATGTATAAAATATTAAAGGGTTCTTCAGGCTTATTTAATAGATCATTTGGAGAAACAGCTGTGCTGCTATTATTTCTCTCTCTCAAAATATGCCCAGTTGACACTCAACTAGATATTTTGTTGAGTTGTGATCTCTTACTGTAACAGATAATGTGAGGTTTAGAATTAATAGAGTTGTTTGCATCTTAAATCTAGTTAATAAAAATGCTGCTATTTATCTGTTCTCAAAATATACTTGACTAAAAATGAATTTGGTAAACTTCCGTACTCGATAGAATTTTCCCTGGTAGCCATTCATCTTACAGAAGATGGTGCCCTTTTCGGTTGATGAAGTACAGGTAGCTTTCTTGCTTGACTTGTGCTTCACTGTAGGCCATTATAATCAGTCAGCCAATGTAAAATGCTGAGCTGAATCATTGTCAGGCTTGTTACTATATTATTTATTTTGAATGAGCCCTCGCATTTCTGGAGATTTTCAAAAGTTATATGAAGATGAAATAGCTGTTAGGGATTCACGTGAAGTATAACTTTTCTTTTATATAGTCACTTAAAAAATGCAGGTTGTCTTACCGCTATGTGAGATTTTTATTTTCACACACATCCCTAGTGTGAAATTTACTTGTAGTTGTTCAGAGTAGTTAAACGCAATGCAACAGTCAACACTTAAAATTCCAATTCAAATGGAAATAAATACTTCAACACCTATGTAGTGATTTCTGCTTACTTTTTCAGAGCAGTTTTTTTTTTAAGTGTGGAAGAAGTTGCTACAGCATATATGGGAAGAGTTGCAACAGCAACCACTAAATATGCTGGCCTAGATATTAAAACTAAAGCTGACCCTTAGTCCTACAATTAGTTGAAACTATTTGGAACTGGGGAGTTCCAGTCATTCATCCATCACAAGTCAGTTTCTTCTTATTACCTTCATATAAATTAATACTGTAGCTGCATTAAATAAAATGCTCTTCAAAACATTTTCCAACCAACCCTCCAGCCTTCTAGGCAAAAGGAAAACATCTTCAGAAGTAGAGAGAACATCTTTCAGGGACTGATTGCAAAATGTAAGAAGGTTTTTTTTAATTAAAACATTAAAAACAAAAATGTATAAAAAAATTATATAGAGTGAGAAATTATTCTAAATGTGTTGGAAACCCAGAGGAAACAATGCCATGGCAGAACATGGAAGGGCACGCTGCAAACTTGAGATAACTCTGAAGTATGTGCAGAAATGTGGTGTCAGAGCATAAGAAAACTGGCAAGAAATCAAAAGCTTGTAAGATATTCAGAACTTTTCAAGTGAGAATCCTTAGCTCAAAAATAGATATTGGCATAGAAAATATTAAAGGATTTCAACATACTTGTCATCAGAGAAAGTAATTAGTGTGATATTACTGCCAAGAAGCTGTGGAAGCTGGCGAATGGTCCATAGAAACCAGAAGGAGCTAGCAAATTATACCAAATGTGTTTCTGACAAAACTCTGAATTTTGAGATGCTCAGGACCTGCTTGCTGAGGGTGTGCACTGCAGACAGGCTGTGATGCCAGGCCATTTGGTAGAGATAGCTGAAGTGTTTGAATCAACTATGAAGGTGACAGTAAGAGAACTTAAATATTTAAAAAATAAAGTGAAATTGAGAAGGCTGTGGCAGAGCTCCTGAGAAAACATTGGTACTGTAGCTCAGTCTTGTGGAATTCTTGCCAATATGAAGCACCATTTTGACCCTGTCATTGATATAGTAAATACTTCAGCCTACTGCATGTTTATTTTAAATCCTGGTAATGGCT